GTGTGTGTGTGTGGTGGTGGGTGGGGGCGCTCGGCTATCACTGGCTAACACACTGTCGTTGGGTTTGCGATTACAATGTCACACCATCAGGCTGGCAGAAGCGGAAGAGAGTGAGGGATGGAAGGGTGAAGCGTTAGTAATGGGTGTGATGGTGTTAGTGATGAGTATCAAAAGTCTCTCCTCGTTAACTCTCACTAACCAGGTCTATCAGGGTAGGCCCAGTCCCAGAGAATTCAATTTAAAGACCCCGAAAACATATATTTTCAATCAGCAATGGGGTCCGACAAGAACTCACTATTGTTTGCCAAAGTTAGAAAAGATTTGGTTATTTTATTTTATTTTTCTAGCCTGCTTTTTTCACTGTTTTGAAGAGGGTGGGACTCAGTTGAAAAGGGTATCTATTTATAAGAGATAAGCAACATTTAAATTCAAATGTGATGACAGTTGTGGTGCTGGGACTACACCCACACAGTCGTGATGAAGCAGATTAGCTGAGTTTACCTACAGATGATAAATCCAGTAATTTTTAATAATATAAACTGAAATATGAGGAAAAAGTACAGCGTAATAAGTTTGAGGGGCACTGAGGTCCATCTGTGTAAAGTAAAGCAGGTGCAAGGACACTGTAAGAGTATATACAGAACAAAGACAACACGTGAGTGCACTATACAAAATATGTTCACTAATTACTGCACTAAGGCCTTAAATTTTGCAGCCTGAGCACCTGCTGATACCCTGGATCAAACAAAAACCAGGTATATCCACTGCAATGCTGCTTCATTAATGTAAAGAGCAGCAGTGTGGACTCGAGCCGAGTGCTTGGAAATGCAAATGATGCAAAGGCTTTGGTGCTGAGACGCTCTCAAGGTTGGGATTTAATAAAGCTGCTCAGAGACGGCTCATTAGCCCTTAAACACTGTACGTCTCTGATCTCACGCTTCAAAAATGACGGTAAAGGTTCTTTGCTGCAAATGCTTCTTAAAACACGAATCTATCCCATTACATTTCTTTGTGCTCGTTGTTCACATGACCGGGTCTCTGGTTTGTTCTTCATGGAGGGAGGAGGTGAGACTTGAGCTACTCCACTCATGGATCAAAATAAATATCATCATCATAAAGAGAAAATAAATCATGATAAACAAGCATCATCAACATTCATGCCTCATATATCCACTCTCAAGATAACCAGGACTAGTATCGGATTTTCTTCAGGTAAAATATACATCCTGTATCTATGAATAATAACATCCTAATAGCTTCACTTTTTTACTAGAAAAATAGGTATCATACTATCTCCCACAACAGTAAACATATATGCATCTGGTATAAAATCTATGCTATACTTTATATTTCTATTAGACACCCGTTCTGTTATTAGCTTAGCAAGCTGAATCTCCTTTGGAAGTGTCCTAAAGACTGATCTAGTACACAATCGCATCCATTTGTAGATCATTTAAAACCTTTTCAAACCAAATGGCCAGGGATTTGCCTGGATAAGACAAAAAAAACAAAACACGGGTGCACAATGAAAGTCACAGATTGCCACAGTTGGAATCGTAAAAGGTCACAACAAAACCAACCACCGCCACGCTGACTCACATCAAAGTAGTCAGCGATCGGAGCTTCTTGCCTCAAAGCACCAGCAGGGAGGAAACAAAGCAACTGCGGTTCAACATCCTCTGAGTTCAAACAGCGCTTCCATTCTGGCTGCTACACCTGATCTTCACATGACAGCACGAGGAAAGCCAGAAATGTGGGTGCAGCTTTTGCACGCTGAATAGCTTTCTGGCTGAATATGCGACGAGAGGAAGACAGCAAATATTCTGCACCTCAATCACTGTGCCTGTCCATCCACGCCTTCACATATTTCTTATGATATTTCTAAATGTCAGCTGCTCTACTTGTGACCCTTACCGCTGCTCTCTGAGATAAAGACAACCGTTTTAAGACCTGGTGAACAGAAAAACAGGGCCAAACCAGGGACTTTAAATAGGCTGATGACTCAAATAGCGGTTTGACTGGAGGCACTCTCACGTGCTACATCACCAGCTCGGCTGTCTACAAGGGCTGGGGTCAAACTCAAACATCTCAGTGCTAAAACCATCTTTGGTCCCCGGGTTACGACAGAACAAAGAGGACGTTAGCACCAAAAACATTGTCGGGATAGGCCGGTGGGAACATGAATCCAAGAAAAGAACGGAACAGGCAGATTTCTGACGAGACGAAGCTCACGGGGGACATTAACAGCACGTAAATAATTAATCTGGAACAACATTATGCAGATTTTAGACACAGAAGGACGAGGACACAGAGAGACACAGAGGACACTAAAAGACAAGTGTGAGAGGAGGAGTGTGTGAGGGGGCACGAATACATACAGGTTTACATTGTATACAAAGTACCAAAGGCAACAGCAGCCCCCATGCAACAAGACAGAGTCTGGGGCATTCTTGTTTTGTAGCCGGTAGTGGACAAGACAGGTGGAGTTATATACTCTAATATAAACTTGTGGAGAAGGTAAACTCCACCCACCAGGAGCACCCCTGGTTATAAAACGAGTATGCCCTCAAAGTTGGCCTCTTCTCAGAAGCACATATAAGGCTTCAGGATCCAATAGAAAAAGACTAATAGATACAGAAGTAGCAAAAAAGACTCTCTGAGACTACATTTTCCAGCAGCCTCTCTGGTTTAGGGTGTGGTCCCCTAGTTCTAGGGGAAGAGGAGGAGGAAGAGGAGCAAGGGGTGTCAGACAGAAGCTGAGTTTCCATCCAAGAATTATTTTTCCAAATTATAATGCATTAAGTTATAAAAGATGAACACATGGTGCAACTTTTAATCAAATTTCCAACAAACTGGTTTTCAGAATTACATTTGTTGATGAAACCATCAGGTAGGATGGTTTACTTTTGTTGCACAACACAATATGTGCATGTTAATTGGCGCATTAAAATAATACCAAGTACATTCCTTTAATTTATGTTTTTTCATGTTTAAGAAAGTGTTTTGGAAATGCCAATAGAACATCCTTCCTCATCTGCACTTTTATTTTTTCACATTTAAAGGTCTCGCTAAAATTTGTTTGACATTTGGATGGAGATGCAGCCGCCGGGATATGACAACAACACACAGGCGTGTGTATCTCGCTCATTATGAAAAACATCTTTGACTCCTGACATCCGTGTCCGTTCCTGCTTTGTTGCCTCTAGCCGTGATTCAGCTGTGGCCAACATTCAACGACTGCCAGCCAAGTCAAGCAGCCAGCTACAGTTGGGCTTCGAATATATAACAGATAAATACTTATATATTATATATTATATTATATATGTTTTTAAATATGCTTGCTATATGTCCCTTCCAGTCATTAAGCGTGTTATATAGGACTGGGTGGATATATTCCCTTTCCCCTATGGCAGTATTGTAGCATTAAGGCCAAATGTGGGCTGAGTCTCACTAGTCTTTTATTCATTCTTTGTGGTTTTCTGCTTTATTTCCTCAAACTCAGAAGGTAGACAAGGAGGGAGGGCAGGGACAGATGAAGATATGTTGAAAACAATTCCGCCCCAATTTTAATAGTTGATTGTGTTCTTTTCGTATTTACAGCATAAAGCAGACCACAGCAGAGCATTTTACTTATGTTCATTGTTTATGTTTATCCTTTTGGGGGTACAAATTGGCTGCTGTTTGCTCAGTTGGAAGAATCCAATCGGCTGCTTCGTGCCAAGGCCAGAAAACAAATCAATCATTCCCACAGGAAGAAATTAATCTAAATTGAATCAAACATTTAGTGGTAATTTGAGCCCGAAGCATGGGAAGGGTTTCCTTTCTTCCAGTCACCCTGACAACAATTGAAATAGATTATTTAATGGTGCATATCAAACCCACCACTGTCAAAGGGATGATGAAAGGTTTAAATGTTAAAATGTAGGATCTATTTTATGCCCCTGACTGGCTGTATCAAAGTTTAAAATGATCAGATGATGCCTAAGATGTTCCTGATTTGAATACAGGCCTGGCACAGAATATCATTTGTTACAAAGAGATATTGTTATAGCCAGTCACAATTTTATGTCTCTAATACAAGATAGCTCATAAGTCTGCCGTATCCCCCAGGCCTGACTGACTGGGATGTCCCAGTCCTCTACTCGACCACAGAGAGGTTGCTGTCGAGAGGGGCTGAAGGGAGGGCGGGGAGGAACAGTGCATCTCTTATTTGACCAGCATGCTGTCATTACCTTTACAACACACATACACAGTCATGAACGAACAAACATGCGTGCCGACACCACCCGACTCTGTGCAAGGTCCACTGCAAAAGACTCACACACAAAGAACAAGAATGCTACATCTTCATTACTGATGTAATCAATACTTAGTGTCCCAAGTTGTTTTGAGGAGTATTGATTGCTCAGCAGAAAGGGCCGATTAGATCGATTAATCAATGACCCCACTGAGTCACTGGGATTCAGGTTAAAAAGACACAATAACACTGAAACTGCAGATTGGGCAGTCCAGCAAAATGTGAACTCAGCTTACTTGTATTTAAAGCTGCACTAGGCAATTTTTTTTTATCGAAAAAATTAAATAAAAATCAAGTTGTCGATGTTTTATCATCCTTTATCACAAAGTACAGCAGCACAACAGAAGGTAGTTTTATCTGCACTTACTGAGGGCTCACTTTGTACAAACCGACATCATGTTATATTATTTATACCTCTCTCTGCAACCTAGGGCCACCAAAATGCAATATTGCCAAGTGCAGCTTTAAAGTTAAGTCACCGCAACCTGTCACTTTCACATCTCTACATTCATAGGTTCATACTAGAGATGTTCACACCCAGATTTGGTGTTCGGATCAAATATATATATATATATATATATTTCACCAGCTAAGCATTATCAGGCCTCTCATCTGTGGAGAAACCCTCCAATGAACAGGAGGACCACCTACTGAACAATATAGGAGTCAACCAAAAGCTAATAAGACAACTTATAGACTTATAGACATATAGACATCTGTTAAAGTGCATTACAGGTTAGGCAGTTTTCCTTGAAAACTGGCTAATCAGGCTAATTAGGCTAATTTGGAAACCAACCTTTGATTTTAAGGGAGTGTTGAACAGAAACAGAGGAGACAGACAGGAAAGACAGAACAACAGATCACAGCATAGATGATTAGGACAAAGACACATGGGCTAACAGACAGACCCACCCTAATGTAGGGGCTAGACAAGACAGTTTACGTGGTGTAATACTGAGACCTGTTAGGTGCTTGTATATCGCAGCAGGTCTCCACTGTGGGGGCCGTAATAAAAATGCTGGAATCCAAATTCACCCTGGCTAAACTGCCAAACATCCATGTGTGCATGCTATGTGGAAAGTATGGCCATCACAATCTATTCAGTCATTGGTCTCTATGATTTTGGTTACAAGGTGTACTGATATATTTCTGATAGTACACTACTGTGGATATGAGATTAAGCACACCTTTCTTCCCGGTTAATCAAAATGGTCTGACTCCAGACCCTCCCAACACACACTTCTATGGAAATAAGAAACTCAATAGCACAGTTGATGAGTGCAGAACTCCTCGTTGGGCTGCTGTCCCAAATTTATGCTAAGCCGTACCCTAAAACCAGTCTCTTCGACTGTCTGAAACCCTGCTCCACCACAACTGTATGCTCAACTACAAATCTGAAGACTTACAGTACGGTTGTAGCCACATTAAGGGCTAAAATACTCTGGAGTGCAGCCCAAATTTTTGAAACCAAGAGGTGGTGAGGGTTCATCAGGATTCATAATCATTGTTTCCTGCTGTCGTCGTCCTCCCCACCTGTTGCTGCGGTTGGATGTGTGACAATGGTTGGTGCTGGCCTGGCACTGCCCGGTTATTTGCTCCAGGAGGTGGGCCAGGCGGGAACAGCCGCTTTGCCCATGTTGGTAGCAGCACAGGGACTCCACACAGCTGAGGGCCTGCGTCTGGGTGGCTGATAAAGACTGGAGGCAGGAGAAAGAATGTGAAAGGGCAGAGAAAGAGCAGAAGGAGAGGGTGAAGTGAAAAAAGAAAAGAGAAGGAAAGAAGTGAGTGAAGAAAGAGGAGAAAAGAGAAAAAATGAATACCAACACAATACACGTTTGCTGTCACATTCTGACAGGATGATGGATGACTGGAAGATGACATATGGCATGCTGTCACAGCAACAATGATATTACAGGGAAAACATTCAAAACATGCCACACAAAGGGCGGAAATGTTGCAAATAAATACGGAAATCATAAAACCTGTAAAGAAATCTCTGAGAAAACAGATAAAAAAGCCCAAACTTTTAAATCAAAATGTTCTGCAGTATATTTTGGAGTTCTTGCAAAGAAAGGACGTTAAACGTGAGTTTCTACAATGGCTTTATTCGAGGTTTCTAATAGTGGAAAGTCCAATCAAAGATCTGGGACATCCAGCCTACTTCTGTTTTGACATAAGTAGTGAAATCTCCAGCGTGATCATACAAAATACATAATACGAAACAAGACGGTTTCATCATCATCTATCCAGTTTGTATTTCATACCAGTATAAAACTACGAAACACTTTCTGTATTAATGTAGAAGTTGACCTGCAGTGCAAAGAAACCTCTCACTGTCTAAATAATAAGACTAAACATATACTTATGACTAATCAAACCTTTCAATGAGCTAGTGATGCATTGGTAGGGAAAACTGAATGAAGTTGCTGCCTAGAAACCTGCAGGATCAGGTAGCTCTGTTCTGTCTCTGTGCTCTGAGTCAGCACCCAAGAGAGAGACAGTGTGCATTGTAAAAGAGAGAAATTGAAGAGCAGAGAGACCAAGAGGATACAGAGTATGAGGTTACAGTTGGGTAGTTTGCATCCTGTACCCTCCTGTTCTACAGCATAACAGGAAAACATAATTACAGATTAACCTCAGCTAGCTTTAGTGACCTACCTGGTTCTTATGAGTCCATAAATCAATTTACTAATTCTTAAGATTAAAACTTAACTCTGGGCTACAGCAACAATTCAACTATGGAAAGTTTTAAAGTCTCCAGTTTCTTTTAGCAAATGAAGAGCTATGTAAACATTAAGATGCTTGGTTATAGTTTAGAAATATCTGCCTTTTTTTAGCTGTGATAAAAAGCTGTGAGGTGTGTGACCTGTGTATTCCTCAGTGCTTTCGATTGTGATGTTGCTGTTGTTAAATTTCTCTGCGGCAGAAATTGGAGACTGACTGTTGGCATGAAACCAAACTTCTGCTTCTTGGCTGGCAACAGCAAAACACAGACAGGACAAACTGAATATGATTTATCCTGGCAGTGCCAGGTGTGCCTGGATAATAAATGCATGGTGTCGCTCTTCCTCTATCAGAACATACTGCTTTTGTTCTCGTTTTCTGTAATACAACAGTCAGCCGCCAAAGCAAAGAGAGAAATTGAGGTTGGAGATTGTGATTATTCCAAACAGAAATGCAGTCCAAACCACAGTAAATGCACTGACAGCGGCCAAGACACAGTTGTAGCCATGGATGGTAATGTATCCTAGACTAGTGTTTATCTGTTTGTGAAGTGTCCTTGGCGTATCTATGGTGGTATGACCATGGGTGATAAAAACTGTCAGCTTTTCATCAACTCTATGACTGATATTGCTCAAATTCATCTACCAGTAACCAAGTGTATCAATTTGTGAAGCAGCAATCAGTCATCACAGGGCTTGTAAATCAGAAGTAATGGACGGCTTGAAGTTGAGGTCCTGCAGTTTGGCATGTCATGTTACAATAAAACTTGTTCTTTAGTGTTGTTTTTAAGGAAAATGAACAAGAAATTTCCGAGGAACTGTTTGGTGCAAGCAATTTTTTAGTTCTGGAAAACCAGCAGCAACACGATGCCCACAATAAAACCAGCCCAAACGTATTATTAACAGTTCTCCTGTAAACTGAGGTTTTCCGAGAAAACGATGCCCGAACTGAGGGTTTCTCGTAAAAGGACCAAGGCTTAAGTGACAGCTATATGGGTGACATCATGACCTGGCTGATTCACTATATTAGATAGCTACAGAGTTCAGCTGAAGTTGAGATGTCGCTGTCATTTTAGCACAATATCATGTTGTTTTTCCAGAGTATCTTTGGCAAGATCTTTCAGCGTAAGAAAATGTAATGATCTTGGGTTTAAAGTATGACATACGGTTCTTACAAAGCACACTGTGTAAAGAAAACAAAACACTGAAAGCCTTAAATCATAGAACAAAAGAGAAAAGAACTTAAAATTGTACACAAAAGGGATTATATGAGATATTAAATACTTACAAGCAGACTGATATATTATTCAGACTTCAATATGGAGTATTATTATTGAGTATGGCGTGATTAGATGGTTAAACAAAACTACAGCAAAGACAATGGAGTCAGCATGCCAACAGCATTCTCTCGCTCTAAACTCTGAACCCAGATCTGATCAATAACAGTGTGGGTTAAATTGAGACCGGAAAAGGAAAAGATGGGGACAATCATGTTTGGGTAAGGGAGGACGGGCTCAGTCATACAGGTGTAGGGATGGATGGAGTCATTCATATAGGAAGTGGGACCAACAGGGAGACAAACAGGAATAGTCTTTTTACACATGAAGGGAAGTGCATGGGCAGCTGTGTACAGCCATGGGTGAATGACTGAAGGTGCAGGTTGCTTTAACCAAATACAAGGGCATATGTGACTGTAGCTGTCAGGGAGGTGCACAGGATTGGCTGATCCTCAGGTGAAGCCAAAATGCTGGGGCAGTGACAGTACAAAGGGGGACAATGGGAGTGAAGTATGGTACTACCTAGGGGAGCAGGGGTCTGGGCCGGGGGCAGCAGGGGGAGGATAAGCAGCTAGCAGGTGCCAATTGTCCTCCCCTGGGCTCCGCTGGGCTTTAACAGGGTCATATTCTGTGCCGACTGAACCCTCACCCTCTTCCATCTGAAGGACACAAGATGCTTACAGTGAGCCCCGCTGGCTAGTCAAACAGCTCATCAGTCAGCCAAGTACACAACATGGCAACATAACCAGTAAAGCCAGCCTGTTAACTAACCAATTGCACTGCAAAAATATCTACATTAGTCATTTTGTCTCGTATGAAGTCTGAAGTTTAATGTATGTATGTAGTTTCCCCATTTACCATTTTAAGAATTTTCGCAAAAAACAAAATATACATTTTGAAAAACACAATTATATTGATTGATTTTTAGAATGTTATTTTTGAGGTGATTTTCATTTAGGCAAGATTTTAAATCACCTCAAACCACTGGCATTATTTTAAAATTTGTTTCATAAACCTATAGACTCAATACAAGACCAAAAGACTGCAGATACAGTTGATTTCCAGTGCTGCTTATTTACCGACCAGCAGATTAATTAGTCAGTTAGTAAACAAGCGTGGAGTTAGTCAGCGCATCAGTCCAGGCTGCGCTGTAGGGGGCCAGTTGATCAAATTCCTGACCCTCTCTACAGTGTCCTAATACACTTACACATACAGTAGATAGCAACTGATATATCCAATAAATGCTAGTCCACTTTTTAAAGCCCTTTACAAATGACATCACCAACAAACTTCATCAAAGCAGAGTTGAGAGCAATTTTTTTTTGGCTTACAAGGCAAATAAAAAAAAAAAGACACCAATGTGCATCTCAGGACTAATTCCCCTGCGACAAATCTGAACCTCATTTTAATTGGGACTGGGAGATAATGATAAATCACGGCTTGAGAAGAGGTCCTTCAGAAAATTTGAGTGGGGTGATGAGGTCACCTGAGGAGGACTTTAATTTCTCACGAAAGCAGAGACAATTGAACACATTGGTGAGAAAGCCGGTTAGCTCAGAAATAGCTGAAAAATTGAGCAACAAATGAGCAGAAAGAAGCTGCAGGCATAAGAAAGATGTCTTGAGGGAAAAGGATCCTTCTAGCATAGATAAGAGCAAATCTATTAGTATCCAAAGCAATTAACCTGCTGCTGAATCTATCAGCTACAGAGTAGGCAAACAATGAAAAACCCAAGAGAGCACCCACGGTTCTTTTGTGATTACGTCCCTCTAATCTAATTAGGAAAAAAAAAAGATTGAAAGATACTGGAATTCTTTCAACAGAACTGAATACATTGCATTATGCAGCACATTAACATGAATACACGCTTTGATTTTGAACCTAGTAAGAGCATCTGGTGTAGTTCTAGCAATTCAGCAAACAAATTACTCAAACTGTGGAAATAGGATCTTTTTTTGCATAATGTGCTTTGTGTCCTCCCTTACCATGATGCACAAACACTTAAGATCAGGCAGTCTACAGTTTGTCTCTGCTCACTGAGTTTGTAGGATGGGACCTGCATTACCTACATTGTTAGTGACTTGGAATACACACTCAGTTGCCAGTTTTTGAGATACACAAGCTAAAACTATTGCACTTGATTCTACCCATGTATCTACTAATGCAAACGGTGTTTGAGCATCAAAATGGACCATTAAGTTGCATGAACATCTCTGTAACAGTTAAAAAAAAATAAATTAGTAAGCATTAAAACCTTTGTTAAGGCATGTTGTATTAGACTCCATTAGTTTTAGCGTGCGTAGCATGTGTATACTGGTGAAGTGTAATGTAAACATAGGCTATTCTTTTGAATATGAAGTAGCATTTTCCAGCAACAGCTACAGAACCATCCAAATTAACATGCCATATATCTGTAAGGGTAAAAATAAGCATGCATGCAGCAAACATTAGCATTGAAAAGAAATGAAACGCTCTAGGGCTGCAAGTAATAATTATATTCATTATTAAATAATCTGCCAATTTCATTATTTTTTTGTCTATAGACAGATAATCCACATGATATTTGACAATTACATATTAAAACGCTTAAAAATTGAAACTTTTATGCTACTAGTCAACACAGAGCTGTCAAAGATCAAGAATTATTTTTGGCGTCTGGTTTTTCTCCTTCACCAACGAGCTCACACTATTGTAAGC